AGGGGGGGTCAGGGTCCCCCAGAAGGGTTCGGGGTGGGGGGGGTAGTGGAGGCCCCCTAAGGGGCTCCTGGGGTTGACTGGGGTCCCTGGGGGAAGGAATTGGGGTTCCCAAGGGGGCTTCCATTATCCAAGGGTAATGGGAATCCCCCAGAGGAGAAAATTGGGGTCTGCAGAGGAGTCCAGGTGAGGCATTGGTGGCCCCAAGGGGGTTCTGGGGATCCCTAGAAGTAAAACTGGGGGCTCTGGGGAAGCAAATGGGGTCATGTAGGATAACTGGGGTCTCTGAGGAGGAAATTGGTGTCCCCACAAGGGTCTCCAAGACATTTCTGGAGAATTCTGGTACCTGGACATGAGAGACTTTTGGGGGTCTCAGGTTGTGTTTTGATACACACCACGTTTATTTTAGAAGCACAGGGACAAGGATTTGGGGTATTCTGGGGGGGGGGCAAGGAAGGTATTGAGGGTTCCAGGGGGGAAGTTGGGGTCCCAGGGCATGTTTTTGGGGTCCCCTGACCGAAGTCGGCGAGCTTGAGGTCCCCGCGGCGGCTGAGCAGGAGGTTCTGGGGCTTGAGGTCACGGTGCAGCACCTTGTGCCGGTGGCAGAACGCGAGGCCCCGCAGCAGCTGGAACAGGAACAGCTGCCCCCCACCCAAAAATGGGCCTTGCATGCTCAGGGCACACTCACCACACACCCCCTGCACAATCCTGGTCCCTCCGTGGGTACAAACCCCATAAACAAGTCCTAAACCACCCCCACCCTCCTGGGAGACACCAGACCCCTCACACACCCTCTCACCCTCCCAGCCCTCCTTAACCCTGCACCCCGACATTGTGCACCTTCCTAACCTTCCCCCACACCTCCCTGAGCCCTACTCACACTGTGATGATTCCCCCCCCAAAATCCCCTCACCCCAACACGGTGCATGCTGATGACTCCCCAAACCCCCTCACCCTGACCCTGTGCATGCTGATGACCCCCCCAGACCCCTCACCCTGACATTGTGCATGCTGATGACGTTGCCACAGTCGTCCAGGTACTGCTTGAGATCCCGATCCTGGAGGGGGGACAGAGGGACCCCAAAATGGGGAAGTTGGCAGGGAAGGGGTCCTGGACTTCCTGGGGGGTGTTCATGGAATTTGGAGGGTCCTGGGGGCATCAGGTGGGGGGTGATGTGTGTCTAGGGGGAGGGTTTGGGGAGTGCTGGAGGGTTTTAACGAGCCCTGGGTGCAACTGGGGGGGTCAATGGAATATTTGAGAGGGCTCTACAGCGATCTGGGGGGTCGATGGGGATTTGGGAGGACCCCTGGGGAAGATGGAGGTCCTTGGAGGGGAACCTGGGAGGGCTCCAAGTGTCCAGGGGCGAACTGGGGTGCAGGGACAGGATTGGGGTCCCAGCAGGAAATTTTGGAGACCAGGGGCGTTTGGAAGGGCAGGGAGAGGGATCTTGGGGGTCCCAGGAAGGTTTTAGAGGTGCTGACCAGGTACTCAAAGACGAGGGTGAGGCACTGGGGCGTGTGGACGATGTCATGCAGCGTCACCACGTTGGCGTGTTTGAGATCCCGCAGCAGCGACACTGTGGGGGGACACGGGGGGAGATCAGAGGGACATGGTGGGGACAAAGAGAGGACACAGGGGGAGACACACGGAAAGGGGGACACGGGGTGGGGGGACATGAGAGTAAGCGGCCTCAGCCCTCGTGTGAACCACGCCCCGACCTCCCAAACCACCCCTCCCGTTTCCATCCAGCCCCCCCAGTGTCCCCCAGTGCCCCCCAGCCTCTGTGTCCCCCTCATGGTGTCCCACAGCTCCCACCCTGCTCCCCAGCCCTCAGACTCTCCCCAGCCCTCCTCTTTGTGAGGGACACCCATGCCCCCCCCAACCTTCATAGGGTCCCCCCCTCCGTGCCCCTCACCCTCGTGCAGGCCCCCCTGTGCCCCTCACCCTCGCGGATGGCCGTGCACGGTGCC